ACTAAGTAAAAAATGAGACATTAGGATAGTAACTACTATACTATAGAAACAATTAAAATGGCTATAAAACGAGGACACTTTGGCACGTTTTAGCCTATACTACAGGATCAACCCGAGACAGAAAATGAACTGAAGTGAATTTAGCTATTTATTTTGAAGTTTTTACAACATTGAATATTTTTCAATGACTTCGCTATTATGTTCGTACATTTTTAAATAGAATTAGGGTAATTCATTTTTTTTTTAATGCTACGCAAAGTAAGATTCATTGATTCGGTAGTTGTCACTCTACTCACTTCTACCCATTTCTATTTCTACATAAAGGAATTTCCCAAGTCCACCGCCCTGACCCTCGAATGGTGGAAAACCCAGGATATATAATGATCGGCCTACTCAGAGATTATTGTGCCCTATTAGCCAGGAACAACAAGTGGGAAGAACTATACAAGTACTGTTATCCCTAAACAAGTACTGTTATCGATCACGTGAAGCAACCAATAAGTAACACAGAAATCAAGAAGCACTTTTCACAAAGAATTTTTAGCCTTTTAAAAAAAAAGTTTTGTTTTACAAAACAAAACTGACGAAAGCCCTACTGTGGCGGAGTATTCCATTTCTTTGAAACTCTCTTAAAAGACAAACAAATTCTTAGATAACTTTGACTTGACATGGCTTATCTCAGGACGAGATTTATGCTACTCTCTATTCACTGTGTTCACTGGCGTAGCTAGGGTTGCTGTCCCCCGGTGCGGTGAACTAATGGTGTCATCCACCCCCCCCCACTCCCGCCGCCTTCCACGATATATTTCTTCTTGTTAAAAAAAATCCCCAGAAAAACAATGACGCGAATAAAAATTAATTGAAGGTCAGGAGAACTGTAACAGGGTTAAGTCATAGTTATTTTTACATTAAATTTACTTTATTTCAAATTTTCCAATCCTTGTCTTCAAAGCTGCAAACATGTTAATCACTTGATGAAAATGAATATCATTCACCGTTTCACTTGGAAAGGTTACATATCTTCCCATGTTATTGGTTATCCTTTTACTTTTGTGAAATTCGGTTAAAGCACAGTAAATATTCAATTTTTCATTTGGCTGTCACCCCCTGAGATGTGGTCCATACCCAGTGATTATTTCAGAATTTTACATCCGATGGGGTTGGGGGGGGGGGGGGGTCTGTGGTTTTTTTTTNGGGGGCAGTGCCAGTTGATTTACTGTTGGACATATTTTTTCTCCGGGGGGGTACTAGGGAGGGCGCAGTGCCAGCCCCCCCCCCCCGAAGGTATAGCTGAAAGAAAACCCTGTCTGCACCCCTCAGCTACGCCACTAATTATATTATTGAAATTCTGTTTCTAATTATAAGTAATAAAAAAGATAATCATTGAGCCTCAAATTTTCACTGTCTATTATTTATCAATTATATTTTCTTTGTTGAAAAGAATTTGAAAAATAACATTAAACAAAAGTGATAGTAAAATAAAACTAAAGATGATTATTTTGATTTCTTTAACAGAAAAAGTTGATGCCTTAACACGCAATATTTTTTTATAATGCAGAGCATCATAGCACATTGACTTTAGCACAGCACAATGACGCTAGCTTGGCACAGTGACGCTAGCTTGACACAGGGACGCTAAAATGGCGCGGTTACACTAGCATGGCACAGTGACGCTAGCATTGCATTGACGCTAGCATGGGGCAGTGAACTAGCATTGCCCAGTGACTCTAACATGGTACAATGACTCTAGCATTGCCCAGTGACACTAACATGGTACAATGACGCTAGCATTGCATTGACGCTAGCATGGAGCAGTAACGCAAGCATTGCACAGTGACACTAGCATGGAAAATGACGCAAGCATTGCACAGTGAAGCTAAGCATAGAACAATGACGTTAGTAAAGCACAGTGATGCCAGATTTGCACATTGAAGCTAGATTAGCACAGTGACGCTAGCATGGCACAGTGACACTAGCATGGCACAGTGACACTAGCATGCTACAATGACGTCAGCATAGCACAGTGACAATAGCATAGCATAGTGACACTAGCATTTCACAGTGACGCTAGCATGGCACAGTGAAGCTAGCATAGCACAGTGACGCTTGCATGGCACAAAGAGGCTAGCATTGCAAAGTGACACTAGCATAGCACAGTGACACTAACATAGCACAGTGACGCTAGCATAGCACAGTGACACTAGCATAGCCCAGTGACACGAGCATAGCACAGTGACACTAGCCTGGCGCCATGACACAGTGACACTAGCATTTCACAGTGACGCTAGCATGGCGCAGTGATGCTATTATTGCACAATGACGCTAGCATTGCACAGTGACACTAGCATAGCACAGTGACGCTAGCATGGCGCAGTGACGCTATTATTGCACAGTGACCCTAGCATACCACAATGACGCTATTATTGCATAGTTACGCTAGCATTGCACAGTGACGCTAGATTGGAACAATGACGCTAGCATATCACAGTGACACTATCATTACACAGTGACGCTAGCATTGCACAGTGACGCTATTATTGCACAGTGACGCTAGCATTGCACAGTGACGCTATTATTGCACAGTGACGCTATTATTGCACAGTGACGCTATTATTGCACAGTGACGCTAGCATTGCACAGTGACGCTATTATTGCACAGTGACGCTAGTATTGCACAGTGACGCTATTATTGCACAGTGACGCTAGCATTGCACAGTGACGCTAGTATTGCACAGTGACGCTATTATTGCACAGTGACGCTATTATTGCACAGTGACGCTAGCATTGCACAGTGACGCTAGTATGGCACAGTGATGCCAGATTTGCACATTGAAGCTAGATTGAAACAATGACGCTAGAATATCACAGTGACACTATCATTGCACAATGACGTCTGCATAGCACTGTGACACTATCATAGCACAGTGACCTAAGCATAGCACAGTGACGCTAGCATAGCACAGTGACACTAGCATTTCACAGTGACGCATGCCACAATGACGTCTGCATAGCACTGTCATAATTGCATAGCACAGTGACACTATCATAGCACAGTGACCTAAGCATAGCACAGTGACGCTAGCATAGCACAGTGACACTAGCATTGCACAGTGACGCTAGCATAGCACAGTGACACTAGCATTTCACAGTGACGCTAGCATTGCACAATGACGCTATTTTTGCACAGTGACGCTAGCAATGCACAGTGACGCTACTATGGCACAGTGTCGCTAGCATGGCACAGTGACGCTAGCATGGCACAGTGACACTAGCATGCTACAATAACGTCAGCATAGCACAGTGACAATAGCATAGCATAGTGACCACTAGCATTTCACAGTGACGCTAGCATAGCGTCACTGTGACGCTAGCATAGCTTAGTGACACTAGCATGGAACAAAGAGGCTATCATAGCACAGTGACACTAGCATAGCACAGTGACGCTTGCATGGCACAAAGAGGTTAGCATTGCAAAGTGACACTAGCATAGCACAGTGACACAAATGGTGTAAGCTTTATCTCAGAATCAGTAACAATTTATTAAGCCAATTCTTACAAGAACATAGTGCAGTACAGTATGCACCATAAGTAGCATTGTATAAACCACCGCTTCTTGAACGTGTATTGTGCGTTAGTCAGCGCTGCCACATTTTCCCGATAGTGGAAGGATGTGTTTGACAGTTATTGGAAATGGGTCTCTCTACAGAGCTATGTTTTGTGAACAAATGTCATGCCATCTAACTAAACCTACTATCGTGGGCGCCTTTTTAATAAAATTTAGTTTCATAAGAATAATTAAACAACCCTTAAAAACATTTTTTTTTCGTATAAATCCCTCATAAAATGTAATCTCGAGCAAAGGAGTGTGGGGCTGAGAATTTAATAAAACATGCGTACAAGTACAAGTAATGCACTTGATGAGAATCCCATTTAGTGGTCGTGCGCGCCCCCCCCCTCCCCCACAGGCTCGCAACCACACATTTTTTCATACCCCTGAACTACATTAATATTCTAATGACCCACCCGTTTAACGCCGCAAATTAATTTCACCAACCATTTAAAAGATACTATTACGCACCAAACGCAATTTGCGACAATTGTTTAAAGAATCTCATTTAGCGTAGTTATCGCGGATTTCTAAACTGAATTTTAGGGTTTGTGGGTTGGAGCTGAAAATTTGATATACCGGTAATTTGTTGTCATCGGCATTGAGTTTTTTAGTCAAGCTTCAGCTCGATATGTTGACGGGAATTGGGTCATTTAGATATCCAAACATTTAGCCATCCCCCAAATAAAGTGTTGGTAATATAATATTAAAGATTTAAAAATGAAACCCTTATTTCCAACATTTAAGTTCAAGTCATTTTTGTGTTATATTCTGACCACATGATGTAGAGGCCGACTCCAGAACATACTGGTCTGTACTGTTTGTCACCAAAACATGCCTGTTTGAACTGTTTGTCACTAGAACAAGCCTGTTTGTAACCAGAACATGCCTGTTTGTAATGTTTGTCACTATAACAGGACTGCAAAACATATGGTCGGCATGTGGCCCGCCAGCACCCACTTTGTTGCCCGCGAAGTAACGAAATATTCTTTTTTTTTTTTTTAGTTTCTTATTAGTTTTCCTTCTATCCTATTTTCTTTTGGCCCGCACAAGTTTGTCATACAGTATTACGGCCCGCCTTACATTTTGAGTTGTGCAGGCCTGCACTAGAACATGCCTGTTTGTACCATTTGTCACCAGAACATGCATGTCTGTACTGTTTGTCTCAAAATCTGCTATAGTACTAATTGGGGCTCAAAGACAAATGAAAACATGAACAGCTCATTCAAGAACAATCAAATTGTCAAATTCTCATACAAAATATTGTAACAGGTTTCAGCTCTGCAGGTCATTTAAACTCCGTGTGTACATACAAATACAGCCCCCATAAAAATCACACTAACCTTTGATTAGGATAAATAAAATGGAGTCAAACAAGTCTGAACTTTCAAAATTCTTGCAATAAAAAGGGGTTAAAAAAACCATGCTAAAATATATGTATAAATATCTGCCCAACAGGCTTACTAAAGATTTCACCACCATAAATGAGCCACTATTTATTTTTAAACTCATAATTAAATTAAAAGAAATGTTTCTGTCAAACTCAAATAATTATTTAAAGCTTTCATGCCTTACAAAATAGAATTTTAATCCATTGAAAAGAAGAGGTAACTTACAATCCATGACATAAGAATGCGTCCAAGTGGGCATGTAAATGACAATAACATGTCCAAGAGGGCATGTAAATGACATAACATGTACAAAATTGGGCATGTAAATGACATAAAATGTACAAAAGTGGGCATGTAAATGACATGGCAACCTGTACAAAAATGGTTATGTAATGACATGCGACTAAATGTAATCATCATATTCAAATGTAATGCTTCCACTGTTTACATCCGCGCTATCAAGTATATTTATAGCAAGATAGTTCTTAACTTGGTTGCAAAATTGAATAGTGCATCAATGTTTGACTTATAAAAGCTTAATCTATGGCTATAAAGAAATGAATCACTTAATACTTAATACCCTCTTACCAAACAATGATTAAATTCATGTCTAAAATATCAGGTTAACAGTTCAGAACTAATACAATTTTTATAAAATGATGTTCTAACACTAACATAGAAGACTTCCATTGGGCTGGAAGAAAAGTTAAAATGTCTGTATCAAACACCAACGGATCAACTTGTCTTACAGGAGCTTTTATTTTCAACAGTGGGGCTACACAATTTTAAAAAATAACTGAATCAAAAATACAATTTTGAGCTATTTCTTACCCTCTCTGTTACTGACGTGCTTCTGAGAATGAGTCATGTTTGTTTCTAAACAAACTTGCATTAATATTCTCAAGGACTGCTGGCCTTTACCTCTGTTATTTTCTTTATTAATTCCTCAGCAGCCTTTTTCCACATACACCTTGGACATTGCATTTTTTACCCACCATTTTATAGACTAAACTTTGAAACATTCATTTTACACTAAAAGTAAAAGTAGGCCCTGCTGATTAAATTATGGCCCTTGGGTCAACTTCAAAGATAAACTAATGCATTTCATCAAGAAAATAAACTTTCAAATATCCACTTAAACATTTTTTCAAATGCAATATTCCAATCAGAAAATAATATAGCCTATCTAATGTCTTACATTTCTATTTCTTCCTCTGTCTACCTCCTCGAGCACTCTTCCCACCTCGTTTGCCTTTCGGTTTAGCCTTTTTATCCCCTTCCTCTTTTTCTTCTTGAACTTCTTCCTCCTCTTTCTTTTCAGCATTCTCTTCATTAACCTCTGTTACTTCTTCTTGCTTTGTCAACTCATCACTTGCCATAGATTCATCGGCCACCTCAGTATCTGTTGGTTTATCCTCTTCATTTTTGGTCTCTGCCTTATCATCATCTGCTTGCTCATCACCTGATTCAAATTTTGCTTTTTTCAGAGGTGGAGATGTCTCTTTGCCTTCTTCATCAGTTGCAGAGTGTTTTTCTGCCTTTGCTTCTGAAGATTCTTTACTTGACTTGTCATCCAACTTCTTTTCATCAGATTTTCTTTCTTTTTGTTTTTTCTTCTCCGGCTCTTTACTTTTCACCTTTTTCCTGGCCTCTGCCTCAGCCTTTCGTTTTTCTCTCAACACCCTGCGCTCCTCTTCTTTTTGTCTTTCTACTTCCTTCAGTTTCTCTCTGGCCGTCCTCCACTCCTCTTGCTGTCTCCTCTGTTGGGCCGTTATCCAAGTGCCATCATCATCTTCTGGTTCCCCCTCACCAAAATCAACTAGCAAGGTTGGGCTAAAATGACGATAACTGAAGATAAAAAAAAATTCAGTCATTAACTTTTACCTTAAAATCACCGTCTCATGTCTGAAAATAAGAAAATATTCGAAGGAACAAAGGATATTTATGACCTCATCTACACAAGCTGCAGTTTTAATAAATAATTAATAATTATCAAAGACACAAACAATTGCTGTTTGTAAAATAAAGTATTTTGGGCTTTAATTAACATATGAATCAAACAAGCATGTTTGGACAACAAGCATTCATTAGTGAAAATAACATGACTTTAAGAGGTTCAGTTTTACATATCATAATCAGTACCTATCTTTTGAATAAAGGAAAAGGGAATGAATGAAAAAAGGGAGAGCAATACCAAGGAAGCACAGAAAAGACAGGAAGTGGGAATAGAGTATTTCAAAGATAGGAAACAATTGTGCAGAAAGGTAAGTTTGGGAATCTTATTTATGTCATATGTAGTCAATATATCAAATATTGCAAACAATTTATTCTTCATATTCATATTTTCTAATACACTCTTGATATTTAAAAAAAGGGAGGTGTTATATATAGTCGGCTGGGAATAAGGCTAACCTCAAATGGTTTACTACCAATAGCAATTTAAAAAAAAAGAATGTTACGGAATTATGGGCCACATTGAATCTATAATTTTTTTATAATTTTGATAGATTTTATTATGATAGCGCCATCATTATACACAACAGACTGTGTATAACGCTCAGCATTACTCCCAGCCGATAAATTGTTAACTTCCGCTAGAAATTATTATTCCTAGTCGACCATGAATAATCACTCCATTAAAAAAAAGGTATTAAATTTTTTTTATAAAGCGGTCAATTATAAGGCATAAGGAAGGCAATAAAATTATTTTTTTAACTTTGCCCTTCTTGCATCTTATGCTTTAAATTACTTCTTAATTTATACACAGCTTTTCAATTGGTATTAAGATTCCAGTCATGGATCCACTTACCGCATGCACTTTCTGAGACAGCTGAGGACCAGCTTGCTACCGATCAGTTCAAGTCGAATGAGAGCATCTGGCTCAGTAAGGGGTGAGCTCATCCAGGCTAGAGGATTGATGGACCAAATTGTGTTGCGCACAATTTCTGTCAAAGTTTCAGATCCAGGCTCTGACAGTTTATCCAGTAGTAAAATGCCAAAGCTTTTAGGTTCCTCTACTGGGTTAAAAATAGGACCCAAAACACGTCGTGTCATAATTTCAAGCTAGTTGGCAAAAATAAGATTAAAAAAATAGTATTAAAATTTTCATGAGCTCTTCAAACAAAAAATGTTTTTACCACAATTTCTCTCACAGAAGATAAATCAACTTTTACAAATATCCTTTTTATACACCAATAAATATTCACAACTTTATGCTTAAAAATTAAACTGCCTTTCTAATTTTTACTCATTGCATTTTTACAAACGATTCTTAAAAGTTACAAACATAGAAGCCAACCTGCAAATTATTGAAATCACAGACACCGAGAACTGGAAGAAGCTGATTAACAGCATCTCCTTTAACTTTCCGATGCTCAAGGAGTATCTCCATGGCAGCCTCTGCAATCTCCATGGGATCAGGAACGTTGGACTTGATAAACATCACATTTCTTATTTCTGTACGAAATGCCTTAAACTTGTGAACACTCCTCATAAATGGAATATCTTCTTCTTTTATTTTCCTATCCTCCTCTTCTTTATTTTTTGCTTCTATTTCTGCCTTCTGTATCTTTTTATCTTCTTTTTCTTTTGTTGATTCGTCCGTTACGACATTTTTAATCTTTACTTCTTCCGTATTTTTGTTTTCATCACTTTCATTTGATTCCTGGTTATCTGTTGTTTTATTTTCATCAGCCCCAGTTGCTGCTGTGCCTTCACTGGTTTCTGCGAATATTTTGTTGTCCTCTGTCTCACTTGCAATTTTGGTTTCAGAAGTTTCATTTGTCTGGATGTCATCTACCACCTCTGATGGATTTGATTCATTAGTCTCCATTGGTTCTTTTCCCTTGATTTCTTCTTGACCTTCTTGTTTAGCTTTTGTGTCTTCTTCCGTTGGCTAAAATAAAATTTAGAAGACTTTTACAGATTTTATTAATCATTACATTTATTTCAGCCAATGAACTACCATAAATTATGAACGTGAAAATTTAAGTTGTAATTCAGATCAATGTCTTTTAGAAAATGGTGTGTTTTTTTGAAAATATAATGATATCTAGAATTTTGAAAATACATTTAATAATTAAATGTGAATTAATATAGTATCCTGATATCTCAATTGTATTTCCTAGCTTTGTTGAATTTTAACCTTTGATCTAAAAAATATAAATGTTTTATCAAAATACCTCTTCATCATTCTCTCCTTCAGGTGTTGGCAAAATAATCACTGTCTTTGGATCCATGAAATCTATTTTAACATACCCACAGTTGTTATCAATCTTCTTGTTCTTAGGTTTCTAGGAAAGATATAAATAGTTTAAGTCATGACATGTGTACTCTTTTTGTTCCTTGAGTGCCAAAGTATTTTTAATTTAATACACATTATCAGATGAATATATATTATTTAAATTTAACTGTGCTTACTTTAATGCCCCCATAAAGCTTTATTGAGGCTTGGCGTAGTAAGTCAATGGCATCATCCACTGCAAATTCTTCTTTTCCTGGCAGAGTTGTAACTAAAAATCCCCTCGATCCAACTTCCATGAGGTCTTCTGGTCCCGCATAAATTTCTAATATTTCTGAATGTTGAGATTTCCAATCATCATGGTCACGCCGTGGTCCTGACATGGCCTGCTGATAAAAATGTCATATAAAATAGAAATAATAAATTTTGAAGCTATAAATTTCTCAGATTTACTCTTGAACACTGCAGTCAAACATTGGGGAAAAATTGTTGAAATCAGAATTCTTCAAACTCTTACAAACAGGTCTGTCATTTTATGAAATTTAATATTATACATTTGTGGGTTTTTTCAGAACAATAAATGTTCATTGGTGGTGGAGCAATGGATACAAATCTTTATATGCTAAGTTTCTTTTCTTTTTATCATACGAAGTCCTATTCTTCTTCCAGTAAACTGTTTTGTTTTGCATTTATTCAACTCCAAGAGTAACAATAATGTGCTTAATTATTCCATATTCATTGCAGATCGCACTATTTGCTCTTTACAATGGGGGACGGGGGGGGGGGGGGCCCCCTGCAACTGAGACGGGCCTTTCAAACTACAATCCCTTTTTTTATTTTTGTTCCAGATCAGATTTTGACAGAAAATAAGTAAGTAGGGAAAAATGGTCATTTAGCAATCAATAAATTCAAATAGACTAATAAATGTTTGTTTTTTTTGTTTTAGTTTTGGTTTTTTTAAGTTTTTTTAAAATCAAAGTTAAGAAGGCATTTTGTGGCAACCTTAATTTTTAAACCATGACTTCAGCCCAGTTTAAAACAAAAACATGTTATGATGGCCCTAGGGTTCCTGAATTAAGACAAGTAGGCCTAGAATAAGCAAGAGACTGCAATAAGGTTTACCAAAAGGTATTAAAATGTCATTTCGGGTAAGTTCATTTTAGTTTAGTTTATTTTTACTTGTTTTTAGTTACTGAAGAGGGCTTTGAGCTAAGACATCTGTTGTTTCCTTTATGTCTTTTTTCCCTAAGTGTATGTTATTTATCGCTAACAAACTTTGATACTATTAAATACTATTGATTGATCGAGTTACTTAAAATGATGCTTCAGAATAATAGCTAAGCTTTTACATAGACAATTATTACCAGCATGAGGCTATCCATATAGTGTGTATGAATTGAGAGGTGGGGGGGGGGGGTGGGGTTTGAGGATTTTGGAGATTTTGTGGCGGGGGTGGGCTCAGCAGAAAGTATGAAAATTTATTCACAAACTCTTCAATAATCATCCTTAAATTATGAGTCCATATGTAACCTTATGTCTCTTCTAATACTGTAGCTATAAAAATATCATACAATAATTTGTAATTATCATCATAATGTTGCTTTGTGTTTTTACAAGCAAGTATCACACTAATATTTAGTTCACCCATTGCCTTGGTTTGTTTCCAAGCATGTGATTGTGTGATGTAATTCAGCCTAACACAATTACTGTCACAAAATGAGTTACCCTTACACAAATAGTACAGAGGAAAAAGTTGTGATATCTAGCGAGTTAACTTCTTAAAAACTTAGCAAAAGTGTGATTACAATAATGAAACTTTGTGGGGATATTTTTATAGCCATTGGTCATTTGAAAATAATTAGAAATGTCAATATCATGGATTCCACTGATTTTTAGGCTAATGTTGGGTATATTCTTGAAGAATAAATACTAATACACATTCTACCAAGACCTTTCTTATAAATATAACTTAAATTATACGACACACAAACTCTTCTATATTAACAACCCACACCCATTTGAGTTCTCAGCCAGTGTTTCTTTCAGGCGTCTCTCAGTTTTTCACCGTCAGAGAAATTAAAGAAATATGCGGAAGAAAATATCCCAGTGTACCAACTCTATGTGGACTATAAAATGGCCTATGACAGCTTTAAAAGGAAATATCTATATGAGACTCTTCAAGCATTTGACATTTCCAATAAACTGACAAGACTGATGCAATTAACATTGATGACAGAGGAGTGAAGAGGGAACACCACCAAAACCACAGAGGTAAGTAACTCAAAGGCAAATCTAGGCTTAAATGGTTAAATTTGTGGGAAAATATCTACAAAAGCTGGGAATCCAAGCATGGAAAAGAAAAGCATCAGTTAGGTTTAGGAGCAAGGAAGTGGGGGACATGCTAAACCCCTACATTGGCTGTAGTGCCACAGAGCTGGATGCTATTTTTTTTTTTAAATTTTGCACAATACTTACTTCAATTTAAAGACTTACATTATGGGGAAAAGTGCTGCCTATACAGAATTAAACTAATTTTCCATCGCTATAAAGGCCTACATTTTGATTTTATATTTCTTCACAATATAAGATCAACTTTTAAATAAAAGGCAGGGTGTTATTTGTATAGTATCATCATGCTTTTAATATATAGTTATTAGTGTAATTTTTGTCCGTGTAAACAATTGATAAATGTGTCGTTTAGACTTTTCAACAAAAAGTTTTTTCTCCTCTTTTTGTATCATGTATAACTTGGAAATATTTAGGAAGGTAATTAAAATACTTGCTTTTCATAGACATCTTTTTGTATGGAAATTTATTTCATTAAATTTATTAATTCATTAATTAAAAAAGGAGTTTAATTATTTATATAGTTTAAATAAAAAAATATTAATAAACATTCCTATTTTTTACAACTTAAAATAGAGGCTTTTTATAAACACAATAAGGTCAAGAGACACCTAAATCCTTTTGCATTCCTATCATGTGCAGGATGATACAAAAAATAAATTGCATAACCATATTTTAAATTTATCTTTCATTTTCTGGGGATGGCCTAAATGAAACCAATCTCCCCGCATTCAATCAGTAGCCTTTGATTGCTGCTTTACCTCTCTCCCTCATGGCGATCAATGTAATAGTACTGAGCCAAAACTAATTTGAGGCCAATAGAATATCCTAGGGCACACACTGATATATCCACACACACACACACCCACCCCCCCCCCGAAATGTCATCTCCCTGAATCAAATTTTCTGAAAGAAACCATGATTATCAGGCTTACTCCGAAAAGTTCCCCAGACCCCTCTCCATTTTCACTTGGTGATCCTCGTCACCCAGTAGTGTAGCTAGGGTAAATGCCACCTTAGCCAAGATTTTTGCTTCCCCCATCCATGATAAAACCTGTGCAGTAGTCTAAACATACTGACTCTCTTCTTCTTCTTCTTATATTTGAGGGGCCCACTATCAATTTGTTGATCATTCTGGCTCCTGGTTTAAAATCAGAGTTTGCCTTCTCTTAGATGGGTTGCCGTCCAAGGCTAATGAGTCCCATCCACCCAGTGTGCTTGGGATGTTGGTTTTGGTGGGGATTGAACTCCAGGCCACCAGCTATTTGGTTTGAGATAGTTTAGACACCCAGCACCCTTTTATTCTCTTTTTTTATATAAATACGCATATGGAACGTTTTTGATTGATTGCTCCTTAAAATTATTATTTCATAGGGTGGTTAATTATAATATCTCAAAACCAGTGACTCATTAGCTGTGTGCATGTCTGATCATTTTGAAAAATGGATTATGAATTTTCAGATATCATTTGGTCTTTATTTATAATTATAAAGTGTTTCAAATTGTATTCCTTGAAATTGTAAGTTGAGTTTTCATAATTTTGAATATTTTCAAAGTAATTTGGTAATCTACCACTTCAGCATCTGCTATGAGAAGTCATGTTGTTCTGGTTTGAAGTCCTAGATAAATGGTTATTGCTTTATTGATAAGATGGAATTCTACTTTCATTGATCCATATAGATGGAAATGTTTTTTAAGAAAATTTTAATGTTCATTTATGCTCATATATAAATAATCCAAAACAACATTATAAAAATATAAAAATGTATAAAAATGTTAAAATAGAAAAATGTAATGAATGAGTAAAGGCAGAAGAGTTTAAGATTATGCATGGTTCACCCCTAAGGTAACAATGTAGTTTTTAAAAATATCATCTCCACTACAACTAAAACAGTTGCAGAACTTGAACTCATGACTCATGCAAATAGTAAGGGAAAAGATCACAGTTTTTGCTAAACTGTTTCTTCAGTTTGTGCGCATTATGAACATTCTGTGTATGGACACCAGCATCAGTTGGATCATTAAATTCATAGACTTTGTGTCTGATCTGCTGGTTTATTTTTCCATACATGAACCTGTAAGACTGTAACTGTAAGGATAATATATAATTATAATATTTAATTTATCTCTCTATACACTCCTGTAAAGTGATCGCACGTTGGTCTGGCACTTCAACGAGAAAACAGTGCCCACTCTCATTTTCTATGCCATAGACATAGAAAACCCAGTCGCCCTCTCTCTACTCACCCTACTGGCCTACTGTTAAGAGACACATCTGAATAGGCCTACTAAGTACTAACTAAGCCTAAGCTCACTAAGCGTTTAAAACTTGATCAACAAGATTTTATTCGAATCCGATGCTCAAATGGCAGATTACCCCTAACTTTAATCTTTTCATTCAAATGCATGATTTTATCTGTGCAGTTGTGTAACTAACCAGCCAGTGTTGCCTGCACTGTACCATTACTACTGTAGTGTAAGTAACTAGCTCACACTCACACTAACTACTAACTGTTACTACCCATGTACTCTTTATGACCTAATTTTTGCCTAAATTAATATTAGTTTATGTTGGCCCCTGTCCTAAGCTGCAGTGTATATTAAAATTAGGACAGATTCTTAACTTTTGTATAATACCTTTTCTTTTTCAGTGAGGTATTACAGCGAGTTCCTTTTTACCGGCGTTCTTTATTTCTTAACCAGCATTTAATTCTAATAGTAAAGGTTACTCTAATAACCTAGATCAACGGTTGTCAACGAATCAATGCGTTAATATTAAATTTCACTGTTAAACATTTTGTTTAAATTGTTTCTTCTCCTAAGTATTATTTATTACTTTAACATTTTTAATTTCATTATAAATATTCAGTTGTATTGTGCCGGATACAGCTTAAAACATGTTTTACATTTGATTCACGCTGTTATAATTATAATAATATTCATTAAAAATAAAACGATACTATTATAAACTATAGGAAGTACTATCTTACTTTGATATCGCAATTTAACGCACTGTGCTAAATAGCCAGAAAAGTCCTGTACGCCAAAACAAAAGTTAAAAAGTGAAGTATGCCTTATTTACAACTTTTAAAAATTATTTGTCTAATTTGCATCGTAAAAAAAATATTATTTTATACTCGTTTGCTTAGTCTCCTAGTTAATGGAATAAATATTATTTTTTATTCTGTCAAATCGAGAGACTCTGGTAGTGAGTTGAGTAAGCTTACTAAGACTAAGCAGACTAAGATCAAGAGTAAGAGTAAGGGTGTGAACTGAGTGCATTCGTTTTGCACTCCTTTCTCTTTGGTCTCCATTTCGACGATCGGCAAGAAAATGGAAGAGAAACGAATGTGTTACATTTTTGTAACGTCACTGGCGACACTTTGCTCCATTTTACTCAATTTGGTTCCACTAGTTGGAACAATCATGGAGGCTTTGCAATTGCTCATACTGTTTTTGGATGAAAAGGAAATATTGAACCCCAAAACGTTACTGGACACACAGAATTTTTTTATGAAGAGGTGAATTTGGAGAATAGCATCATCTTCTGGATGAAGTTTTAAGAGATGAAGAAAAATGTGTTTCCTATATTCAATATTCGGATGCGCCCTGAAACTTGTCCAATCCTTCTTGATCACATTGGACCTCATATTGAGTAAAGAACAATGAATTTTCGAAAACCTTTGTCTTCAGGAGAAAGACTTGTGATAACTCTACGGTAAGTGGCACATTGACGATGACTAATAACAAAAACATAATTTAGGGCAGGTAGACAGACAGGCCGACGGTGGGTTGAAAGATGGATCGATGGATGATAGATTGACATTATAAATTTACAGCAAAACAAATGTTGATGGACATTTTTGCGGCTGGTCTAATCACTTGCTGAGAGTAAATTGGGAGAAATTTTAGTTGCGAGTTAAAACGTTCGGAGTCGATTCAGCAAATGGGAGCGGCAAAAAAAGGAGAGGAACGCGAGAGGGGTGCACTCCGTTGCCTTGATTGAAATATGAGACTCTTCCGGTGTTTCGGCAACTGAGAGCAAAGGTCAAGCTGGGACCATCACGAAGCGGAGAGGAAAACGAATGCACTCAGTTCACAGGTTTAGATGTAATATTTGCCTAGGCCTAAGTCCTAAGCCTTTACTTTAAGATTTGATTTAAGGGCTACTTATTATGCACAATTTCAATTGACCAGAATAAAAATTTAGAACAAATATGTCATGTCTGGTCTGATTTTATTTTATATGTAGTTGACATAGGCAATGACTATGATAGTTTAGTATAGTCTATAGACTATAGTCACTATAGTCTAGTCTAGCCCTAGTAAATAGTATACTCTGTATACTATTGTATAGTTACTAGTAAAAACACAAATCAGGCATGTATTATAATTATAAATAAGCAAAAGTATTTTTATACTGTAATTTTTATTATAACTTTGGATAGAGTCTGGCTTATTATACTTAGTTTAGCCAGTTTAGCCTTCTATAATATCAATAATTATAATAGTAAAAAATATAACTAGTATAGTAATAGCATAAACCAGTCCAGAGTGTTTCCCAACCTTTTCTTTATTATTTATATTCTAGTCTGTACACCCTCCGGTAAATGTTGAGAACAAGGCCAGCGATGGCCACCATCTGGTTGACACAACCTCAACCAGTTAATTCTGTCACTAAACCTAAACTAAATCGATCCCTATGACGAACCTGAACCCTAAATCAATCCCTATGCCTAACCTGAACCATAAATCGATCCCTCAACCTAACCTAAACCCTAATTCACTGCAACTATAATAAACACGAAAATGACGTCCTTCAAATTGTTTGACTATTACTAGGTAGCAGTAGCAGGTCTTTGTTTCGCACCCTCAAAACTAAAAAAGCAAAAATGATTTTATGATTTAAAAACTGGAAAAAAATGGACTTAAAGTACAATGAAAAATATTATAAAATTGATTTCATTAAGCAACTTAGTAATACTAGAAATGACGTCTGTCTTGTTGCACACCACAGTTTGGGAAATCATAATATAGTGTATAAGTATAGGCTAATTGGTAGCTTACTAGCTACCGTTCTAATATTATAATTAACAAGGATCGTCCCGCTTGAGCAATCTTGTCCCAGCCAGTTCTGACTTTTGTCCCAGTTTGGTAGAAATTAATTGTCTGTGTATGTTAATGTAAAACATCTTGTACATATTGACCTTATTAGTTGTTTGGTATCAATTCCAAATTTTTTGTATGTACTTGTAATTTGCAAGGTTTGTGAATTCATAGTTAGTTATTTTGTTATGTCTTTTACTCGGACTGGGACATAGGCCATCTACAAGTGCATTTCATTCATTTCCTGTCACGACTAGCTCTATGTAAGGTTGCTTCCAGAAGTAAAACTTCCTACCCATCAGCCTCACTACATAGTAATCATCGGCCAGTTATTTCAGTATTTTCCTGTATTTTGCTTTAAATACTTTAAAATTCCTACATTTACATCTTAACCTAAAATTGTAGATATAGTTGAACAAGGTATGTTTAACTATATCCCTAACACAGCTTGAACGCAATCCTTCATTTACTATCCTAAAATTGTAGGATTTGTTGTTTTTTTTATTTTTCATAATTATTCACAATTATAAAGCTAGCTTTTGGGTTACAGGCAGTTGGGGTTACTTTTTTTTTAAATAAATACATTAACTCGATAAAAGAGAAGCTTCTAATCTTGTTCCTAGACCAGAAAATTAGCCTCTGATCACCCCAATATAAAGCAGTCCATAATAGACAGTGTTAGTTAAGTTGTTCATATATAATGATTGGGGAGTGTATTAATTAAATTAAATTTAAGGCAAAGGCTGACCTCAGCCAAAGATCAAGTGACAGGCATCTTATTAGTTGTAGACTTGTTAAAGGAGAATTTGAAAGGGAAAAAAAGAAGGCCTAGATCTTTTTATTTTTAAAAAAGGGTTCCATTTTATCTATCATGTCTCTGGAAGAAGCTCCCAGGTTACATACTTCCCACTTTATTTTTTATTGTGGCTTCCATCCACCTAGGAATGTCTATCCAAAATAAAAGTAGTTCTTCCAGTTAAGTTGCAGTTTCTTTATAAATCGAGAATGTTACAAAACTTATTTTGTATTTTTTATTGGTTTTAGATGGCTTCCATTGAAAGGAAAGGAAAGAAAAGAAGCAAATCTTTTTACAGGAAGTGTGCTTATGGCGGAAAAAAATCCCGTATTGGAGGAAATATATTGGAACCTGGCATTAAAGGTTTTCTCGTTATGTGCAATAATGATGAAAAAAGTGCTGTGAGAGAATGCTACAATATTTTCAATGAATATGCTGACCAGTTGTATGGACCAGACCAGGTAAGCTTTTATCTGAAGAGAAAGCTATGGAATAAATTTTAAAATCCAATATATTACCAAATGAATGTACATTAAGTGATAGGCACCGGGTAGTTGACATAACTTAAGTTACATTTTGCCTAATAGCAGCAGTTCTTCTTATAAATGTGTTAAATAAATTAATCGTCACTGTTACATTGATTACCTTTCTTACAAACTTGTCTTTTTTTTCTTGTCTATTTTAAAGACTAATAAGCAACCTGTTAATGTCGATGAATCCAAAGAAGATAGTGACTGTGATGATCTAGAAAAGGCTCTTAAACAGGAAGTAGATGGATTAAAGGATACTGTGTCAAAGCCCAAAAGATTTCAGAATGTTATGGCAAATGCTAAAAACTGTGTATTTATTCGAACAACTCTTGAAGATCCAGTTAAATTGGTAACTACCGTTATGGATGACATTGCTAAAAAAAGAATCAACAAAGCCAGGTATGCTGCACGCATCCTTCCTATTCTAGAGACCTGCAAGGCCCATGCTGAAGATATTCAGAAATGTGTGAAAAAAGTGCTAAGTCCAATATTCTCTACTGAAAATCCCAAAGTTTTTTCGACCTATACTATCTTATACAAAGCAAGAAACAATAATGGGACTACGTGCAACAAGACAGACGTCATTTCTAGTATTACTAAGTTGCTTAATGAAATCAATCCTGACATCAAGTTTTCCTGGACAAATTATCAAGCAGCTGTATTGGTTGAAATCGTACGTACTGTTTGCTGTGTTGGGTTTGCCCCGGATTATGTAAGGTATCGTAAATATAATTTGCAGCAACTTCAGCAGGGTGAAAAATTTGATTCTAGTAAGGGGGATTCTGTAGAAGTTTTTCACAAACCAGACAATAAAATTAATGATGGACTTAAGGCCAATGAGCATTCTGCTAATGACTTGGCGGGAAAGCCAAATACGTCTCCTACCCTTTGTTCTGCTACAGATGTAGAGACAATAAGTACTGAAATATGTAATATTGAGGAGACAGAACCAAAGATGCAGTATACCAAGAACTTAGAGAAAACACAATCTCAGGATCATGTTGTTAGTGAGGAAGAACAAATACATTCTGTCACACATAACAGTCAGAGCTACCAAGACTCCAAGATTGTAGAAATTGATGATATGGATAAAAATAAATCTCTTGAAAATGATGTTAGTTAGGGCTATATTTAACACTGATACAAACATGAAATACTAATATTTGGCCTTTATTTAGAAAGTTATTCAGTTTATTTCCACATTGCATTTAGGGAAAAAGAATAAGAATCTCTCAAGAGATCTATATCTATAAAAAATTATAAATTATTGTCCATTTAAAATTAACATTCATTTTTGCTCAAGTGTTTATTTTCTTTTTCTGTCAAAATCTGTTGTGGTTTTGTTATCTTATTATTTAGTTATCAATTACAATTGTAAGGAATTCATAGTACCGGTATGTAGATTAATGTTACAAATTACTGTCATGCATTAGAATATGAAATTTTGGCAGTGGTTCTCATGTAAGTTATTAAGCAATTTAATAGCAGAAATCATGATTTGCTTATAACAGCTATTTAAGAGAGAGCGTTTTATTCTGAATGTCCAATGGGGATATCAAAGGAAATGGGGCATCAGAGATCCAGTATAATTTAGGGAGCCTTTATACTACTAGCATTAACAGGGTCAGCTTTGTCAGGTGTATTTAAAATAATGTACCATTAAAAACCAGTTGCATCTCTAAGAAGTTTTTGAACTAATTCCTAATCTACTGTGCATTAAGGAATGAGAGATAAAAAGATTTTATTTTTATATATTGGGTAGCATGACTCAAACTTATACTTTTACTATACAATTACAATAGTAAAAGTATAATTACATTTTGTACTGGAATGAGGTCCTCTGGGTTTGTTTCTTTTTTTTTTTTTTAAACCATATTTTTTTGTCTTCAGATTTGTTGTTTAAATATATATTTGAAAATGTCATAAAATTTATAATAAATCTGAACACTTCAACTTAAAACAGTGAATTGGAATTTTCCTTGTTGAATGCATGGAGGATGAAACTTAACCTAATGGCTGCTGTGATGAGTATGAGAAGTTTTTATAAGACATTTCCCCATGCCTTTAAAGAAAACTGAATTTTAACCCCCAAAAAAATATTTTATACCCCCCTCTCTGCAATGACAGCCAAGTGTTAACATTACCTGCTAACAAACTATTTCTATGTCTTTCATCATACCTGTTATCATGTACAAAATCTGGAAGGCGCATATTTAATATATAAGTGACCCTTCATGACCAAGAAAGAATAAATACAGATGTTTTTTCAAGCATATATTCTTATATAAAATAAATCTAAATTCTTTGAAAATCTGTCAACATTACATTACACAAAGGACTAAAGATTTAATAAAAGAAAATGTATTTTATTTATATATACTTATTTTTGAGATCTAAGATGAGTGTTCTACAACAAAAAATTGTGCAACCATTCATTCAACCATGCAATTGTTTTATTTTTTCCTCCAGCATGAGAATGCATAGATTAAAAATTTGAAAAACACAAACATAATCTTAGGACACAGTACTATGGCACATTTTGTGTTCATTCACAATAGTCAGTTTGTGCATTCAAACTTAATTGCAAAATCCATTCTTACTAAAGACAAAGTATGTTACATCTGATTGATCTTTTACATCAGCGGTTCTCAACCTGTGTGTCGCGACTCCTTTGGGGGTCGAATGGCCCTTTCACAGGCATCGCCTAAGACAATCAGAAAACACATATTGTCTGCAGTTATGAAGTAGCAACGAAAATAATATTGTGGTTGGGAGTCGCCACAACATGAGGGAACTGTATTTAAGGGTCGCGGGATTAGGAAGGTTGAGAACCACTGTTTTACATAGTTTTCAATTTTAGTTAAAATAACTATATATCAGCTAAAGACATATCTGTAGTAGTAAACCCCATTTATAACCATTTCATAATAATCAGTGCTTACCAAACCCTTTCAAATAGAAAAAGCACAAGAAACTCATGATATCACAACCAACTTTCTCTCACCACTGAAATGACAACTGAAGTAAATTTAAATTTGATTGACTAATTAGGCTTCAACAACAGTTATTAATTAAATAATATGGTCATCTTGTTGGGTTTTTTTTGGCTTGAGTTTATTATTATTAGTCTTTTCATTCAGTTGTGGTCAGAAAATAGACGTGACCAGTCTTTATTTTTAAACAATTATGTAGAATTTTGGCATTTTTGCTTACGCTAAACGCAGGAAATTATGAATATTCAAATGTTTAACATCTATTGTGGGATTTAAAAATAAAATTGAGAAAAGATTGGCAGAATTTTGAAAAAAAATCCATTAAATAAGCTATTTAATAATGACTGCCCTAGATGTTATAACATCCTTTACATCAGTTTCATAAAAACTTATTTAGTTGTGCACAAAGTTAATGAGCTGGTGGTAAAAGAAAGAAATTTAAATCTAACTTTAAAATATAAATAGCCCTTTATTATATAGTATAGGTTTAACATACAAAACTAATAGAGACTTGTCAATGAAACAATGTTTTTTAAATGGTTTAACATAATAATATATAACAGAAAATTTACATTCAATTTTGTTTTAATAAATAGTGTAACAATTTTTTTGCTCATCATTTTGAAAAAGTTAACATTATCACAAAAGTTAAACTAACTAAAATAAAATACTTTATACTTATATTAAAAGTACCGGTACAATGCTTTATTATTTTATTATTTTTATTTTAGATAGATCACAATAGAATGTGTTCATTGAAGAAGTTAATAGATCATAACTAATAACATGGGGTATTTTTAAAGATGCCTTAATTTAAGATCAAGATATAAATTGTATACCGTACAATATTATGTTTCACTTTTTTTTGTTTACAGAGATGAATTGAATTTTTAAATAACATTGACAAAAGCTGTGGGGGTTTGTATTAAGATTCTTATTTTAAGAATTGTAGGTTATACAACTGGAGGAAAAACCTATTTCATGATCCTCATAAGCAAGTGAAATACAAATTTTATTGAATAAAACTTTTTAAAATATTGAAATAAGCAAATGGACATGTCTCAAAAGATTTTAAAATCTTTCAATAATTCCATTGTGAATTGTATGTAGTATCCTAATATATATTTGTATACAGTATTAATTAACCAGCTAGTCACTTCCTTCAAAACACTGATAAAAACTCCAAAGTATTATCTCCTTAATAGTTCATAAATATATAATATAATAATTTTAAAAGTTCCATCCCTTTGAGAAACAAAAAACTATTTTTTACTATACACTGATAAAATTATAAGAACTACAGTATTTCATCTCTGAAATAGTATCATAGACTTGCTACCAGACAACAAAAGATGTTTTGAAAGTATATATAATTTATTACCCGCTAATTCAAAATAGTTAGCTGTTTTAGTCTTTTGTTCATTGTACTTTGTATCCTACAATTACCAGAATAATTTATTTTCTTTTTCTATGAATAAAAGTAATAAATTATTTTTTTTTGTAATTGCTGAATTTAATTTTCTCCAGCCTCAAATTGACTGAGATTTGAACAATTATGGAAAATACATATTTTAAATACCAGCTAGGGTAATTAGCATTGATCTTAAACACTGTAAGCAAATATATAACCAATTTCGAAATAAGATCTAAATTTATCCTGTCAAATAAAGCTTTATTCAAAAATAAATAAATTGAATGACTTAAATGGAAAGTAATTACATTCTCAGCCACAGAGATCTAAAAGCTTTTATAAATTTTAACAAATAAAAGTGAAGTGTTGTGTAAAGCTTAGTTCTTGTCTATTGAACTTGGTACAACAGTTCCTGGATGAGTTTTTATATCATTATGTCATCGTCGTCATCATCGTCCAAGCCAGAAGGAGGCATATCATATTTAGCCTGAAAGACCTGACTGGTGGATCCTCTCTGGAACAATCAAGCAAAAAAATTATGGTACTGTGTTTTCCCATAGCCAATTCAGAGTAACAGCTTTTGCTTAATAATGAAACTTGGCTGAATAATTGTGAGTTTGGCACTCAGTTCCATAATTTTGTGTGACACTATCACTATTAATAAGGTAGACAATTTGCTAAATCTTCCCTATTTTGTGAATCTTCCCCCTTTTTTATAAAAAGTGTTTCATTATTTATATCCTTCTCCATAATTAGGGTAAGTATATTTTTTTTAATCCTTTATATTAACTTTTCTTTTGAAATTTGGCCCTTAGACTCGTTTGCCGATGACAATACACTCTATCAAATTTTCAGCAACACTCCACAACCCCCAAAAATCTGTTTTTCAATGGGAAGATTCCTGATAACAGGCTAAATGAGTTAAGTAGATTTTAAAAGCGGTGGAAGCTATATTAATTTATGACATAAAAGAAGCTGAACATTTTGGCAACATGCCTTCTTCTGCTTTCAAAATCTATGTTATAATTATATACAAATATTTTTCTACAGCTTATTAAAAAAATTTTTAATTAAGTAATAATCATAACACTACTACAAATGAAAAAGGCCCAAAGAACACAGAATAATAAGAGATGGTAGTATTATAATACATGAAAATTGATAAAATACTGCATATTATTTAATAATGGACTTCATAATATCCTTCAAATCTAAAAATCATCCTGTTTTCCTTATGAAAATGTTTCAATTAGTACAGTATATGTGTAGAATTCCTCTGTAATGCTTAGTGACAGGCAATATTCCTGTTTCTTTAAATAAAATGAGTGTTCCTAAATGTTCCTAAACTGGTCACCAATGCCACTCGGTCTTACACCAACCTTTTTTTCTCCTAATGCAGTGTAAATCACACTGTGACTTGTGGCTGTAAAAATGTCTTTGATTTTAAAAAAACATCTCCACCTAAACAATATGAGACAGTTATACTACACCACCTTATGTTGCAACAATAAGCACCAGTGTGTAATCATAACTAGAAGTTGGCTTCTTATAACAAGACTCTCTCCTATTTAATGAGATGTTTCTCACCTCTACAAATCACCTTTCCATATACACAAGATTTATGTCTTTTATAATATTTACTTGAATGTACTTCTTTGTTTGCTCAAGAAGGCTTTTAAGCACACACAATTTTTTTGTTTTGCTTTTGAGTTAGTAAAATCTCATCCCCAATGTATCTTTTGTTGATTTTTTGCATTTGGACATCTTGTATAATTAAAATCCATAAACTGCTTCAGATAGTTTAGATTACTTAAAATTTTATTTCTTCAAAAACATTAACTCACAAAATTTAGATCATTTTTTTAAAAATAATAAATTTGTGAGGTGTTTTGAATTTTATGCTTTAATTACTGTTAGGTATTTACTTTAGCTATAGATGCTGATGAAGGTCGTTGCAATGAGCCAACAGAAACTCGTCTGCTTGAGGTTGAAGGTCGACTATCTGAAGGTCTGCGACTTCCACCTGAAATTGGTCTTGTTGCTGTGGGTGGCCTCTGTAAAGGAGAACTTTGTCTCCGTCCACTCAGGTAACCATCTTCATCCACTTCCCTAATGAAATGATGAAAACATTGGTGATAGTAGGGAAATTTGTATGAGTATTAGCCTGTCACATCAAGCAGTAGTGAAGAAAGATCAAAGTCAAGATATAATCGAATATCCAGGTTTGCTGAGAGAAGATAATGGTTATCCCAATGATGGATTTATTCAGGTTACCCCTTCATATTTTACTCATTTGTTTTTGCCCCCAGCACCAACCCCACAAAAATAAAAGAATTTAAATTCATACATACTCCTACACATAAATATTGCTTAATTGATAAAATAACTGGCAAATAATAAGAATATTGCATTAAAGAGTTTAATATTTAACTTGAAAAAATCAAAGCCAATAAATCTCATTTACCCTATCCTTAAAACAAATTTTTAGCTTTTTTACCAGAGTAAAATCATGCAACATACAGGTAATTAAATTTAAACTTACATGTTTCTCATTGTTCTCAACTTCTGCTGCCTGACCTTGTGACCTCTGAGGCTAGATTGGATTAAATATACATCATCCTCCATCTCAGTAGGGTGACCTATTTTCTGATGTCTTATGTGGTGTCCTTTGAGGGTACCTTGGATAAGAAAGGCTGCCTGCAAAGAATTTAAGAAATAATATACAAAATACTGATGCTTTGATTCTTCTTTTGAAACTTTAAATTTAAAATGTAGACATCATCAACCAACATTAATGCCTGTAACAATTTAAACTCGTGAAATATTTAAAACCTTTTCAATGTATTTTTTATACAATGTTTTCAATGAAAAAATTGAAAGCTTTAAAATTAATGTTTTACATTATAAAATACATTGTACATACATCATCCATTTCTTCATCATAATGACGTTTTTTGTAGTCAAACCATCCATGTTGAATCTTCTTTGCAGCACGATTTTCTCTAAAGGCTTCAACCTGAATATAAAATACAAATGCTAACAACTATCGTCATCTCCAGGGTGCCTTAATTGAATAAGGGTAAAAGCACAGACTTGTGATGGCCAGTGGTCAGTTCTAGTGAGAGAGGTATGTAATACAGTCTAGGGTGCAAAATACAATTTTTAAGGGTCATCTGGGGTTCTGAGTCCTCACCTCACTTTATATAAGAACAGTGACCTGTGACACTTATACATTTTAAAAATGCTTATAATAGGGTACCAGTAGAAGAAAAATACAATGAATTTGAACAGAAAATATTTTTTTTCAGTATAATATAATTCAATGTAATTTTAACTTACTAAATATTTAATGTGATAATTGAAATATTGACTCACTAACAAGCTTCAAGATTTGAAGTTGAGTTCTTGTTAATACTAACCTCATCTCAATTTCGATATTTTGTCAGTTTGTCTTTATTGTTTTTTTGTGTTTTTAAATGAAGAAGCATTTGAAACACTCCTACAGTAGGCTACAGTAGCAAATGGCAATATTATGATCTCATTCCCCATTTATTATGATATTGCTGTAAAACGTTTAAAATTAGGTTGGAAAACCAGGGAACACTGGCCAATGTCATAAGCCACAATTTTAAGAAAATCGTGCTCCAGTGCACCATTAAAATTATATCATCACCATCTAGATTGAAAAGAGCTCTGAGAATGACAAAATGCACAAGGTAAAGCATAAAATGCTCCCTCACTTTTCCCACCTACTGATAACCTAATAGTTTCATCAAGTAAAACATGGTGATCACTCAAGGTTAGTAAACAGCATACTTCACCATATCAAAAGATTACTTTTACTTATAAGCAGTGATACTTCAAACGTTTACTTAAACAATGAGTTAAGATTCCAGCCTGATCATTAAGTTAAAGCTGCTATTGTGTTTTTCCCCTTTCCCAGCACAAGCACCTTATGTCGGTAAAGGGTCAACCACAAATCAAGTGAGCAAAAAAGTGAAATTATCAAACCCTGCTCCCCCTGTTGCCCTCATACATATTTGGACCATACATACTCAATGCATTTATAGAAATAAGCCTTTCTTTGTTTCAGCAGAACAAAATAATAAGGTTGCAAATTACTTCACATGCACTGAAAAATATATTGGGGTCTAAAGTTTTCAATAGGTTAAATATAACTGTTGTCATATCTAGCGAGTTCCTTTTTCAAAACTGAAAGCAACAGTATGACTAATCATTGCATATGTGGCAGTGAATTTTTTATAGCCAATGAAAATAAAAAGAATGATGGATTACAAAGATTTATTGGGTGACAGCTTTATTGGATATATAAATAGGCCATTTATGGACTGTAAAACTTCAGACTTTTATTATTGCAGAATTTGTGCATACTGGTAGATAGATGGCATCCTTCCGTCTTCGCGAGACGGTGAAGTAGCTACGTAGTCCTACACTTCGACGAGTGGCTCACTAGATCAATGCTAGAATGACAATCTCAACTGCATTTCTCGCAGGAGAATATTGATTCCTGTTAAGATTTTGACTTCCGTATTGTTCTTTTGTTTCAAGGGCCTCGTTTAACGTATCTTCTGCCCGTTTTACTCCTTCATACACTGCTGTTCGCCAGATGGAACGTTATTCGCCAATGTGCTCCCATTCGTTGTTTTCAATATTGGCTTCCCTCATGCTCTTTTGCAAACGTCCAAAAATATCAGGCGTGGCCATCCAATAAGTCTTGTCCCTTCTGCCAACTCTCCATACAGCAGCATCTTTGAGATACGGCCTTCCTCCATTCTCCTTATGTGGCCTAACCAGCGAAGGCGCCTCTTTCTAAAAAAGGAGAATACGCTAAACATGTGTGCATGTTCCAAAACCTTCGTGTTAGGCACCTTGTCCTGCCATTGAATGCGTAAAATGTGACGCAGTCATCTTTGGTGAAAGCTTTTGAGTTTCCGCTCCCGCCTGGTATATGTGGTCCTCACTTCACTTCCATATAGGAGCATACTAAGCACACATGCCTGATAGACACTTATTTTTGTTTTATCGGTTGATTGATATTGTTCCACACCCCCTTATTCAGTTTAGCCATAGTTGCTGTTGCTTTTGCAATCCTGATATTTATCTCTTCATCAACGGAGAGAGAACTAGAAATATTTTATATGTACATATTTATTCTGATGACATCCCTCCCACCCAACATATGTATTTTGTGAGTGCATGCGTACTATATGAATGAACACACACTTTTCCCCATCTGCCATGAGTTATAAAATAGCCATATCAAAATATCCAAAAGCTTAAAATAACTTTACCTCGCTATTTGTCTTGATCTGCTGTCGTTGTCTCCATCGCCTCTGTATACTCGTAGCTGCATGTTTTTGTTTGAAACTTTCGACTTTGCCTTCCCTGGACAGTGCACTTCCAGGCCTTGAACCAGTATCTGACCTTGCAGTGCCAGGCCGAGACCCACCTACTCTTACAGCAGTACTTGGTCGAGACCCAGTATCTGATCTGACACCTGTGCCTGGCCGAGACCCTGCCTCTGATTTCAACTGCCTCACAGTTTTAACTTCATCAACTGCTTGACTACTGATGATGCTATGAAGAGAACAATTACAAAATTTGGTAAACTAAGTTAAATAAGACATTTTTAACAAATTTAATATCAACAATTCAGAAATAAAAATTGCAAAGAAATAACGATCAAAAGTACAAGACAAAAAAGTGTTTAAATAAGCAATTGGTTTAGAAAGAAGAAGAATTAATTAACAAAAATCTTGGATTTAAGTTCTTCTTTGTTTCATTATGCTGCATTGGTAAATTCACAATAAATCCAGATTGTCCACATTTATTTTTATTTACCTATTTCTCCTCCGTGGTGTAGGTGGAAGTGATGAGGCCCTACAAACAAAATTATAATCATTTTATCACAAGACAAGTACCGTATCAGAAGTTGGTATTTAAAAATGTAATTTTTTAAAAATGTAATACATTATCAAATCAGAATTTTTCAATTATTTATTCCCCAGTGGGGACAAGTTTAAACCAAAAACAAGTAGGGGAGAAGGAGATGATATTCCGCAGATGTCTGTTGAGTGTGCTCACGCCAATAATGTTACATGGCTTCCTCAGGTCTATAAAGGCAATATTGAGAGGAATCTGCTGTAATTCTTCTTTTCACTCATTATGGCTTAAATATGTACTAAAATCAAAATTTAGAAGGGGTGCTGCAAGGATAAATTATTTATTTAAGGGTGGCCCCATTTGAAATACACAGTTATATATAAATTATTCTTTTTATCATATTTGATCAGAAATATTAGAAATCTTACTCTTCCTTTCTCTTCCTTTCCTCCCTGCTTTTCTTCAACATTGCCCTCAACCTGTCTACCTCTTGCAAGAGTTGCGTCTCTCTTTGATCAAGCTGTTGAAGCCTGTCTTCCAAACTACCCCGGAGTTCAATTTTACCTTTATAATAATGAGAAAATATTCACAAGCACTTATACATCTTTTTGTTTAAACTGTCATTAAATTGCTGATTAGTCAGTACTTTGGGTCTAATTCAAAATGTAAATTAAGGCATATATAAACCAGTGTACTTCATTTTTAAAGTTATGTCAGGTTAGTAGATTGAGTTTATTTATTTAAACAAATTCTCATTCTTATCAGAATTAATTCTAGCTGAAGTTATGTGTATATTTCAGAGCTTTAACAAATCAACTGCTTTTGTTAACAAACCAGTCCTATTCAAAGAAAAATAAATTCCAGCCAAATGTAAACAATGCAGAACTAAGAGATTACTAGCCTTGAGTTTTTCTAGGAGTATCATATGACCTTGCTGACATGTCCTCATTATCATACATTCCTTGTTCAGCTTGCTCAAGTTTCTGTAGAATTAAAAGTTGTGGTTTCCATAACCATGTATATTTTATGATGCTGATTACTTTAAGATGTTTGAGGCAGACAGCTGGTAAAACAAGAATGGGCCATATTAGGAACCAGGAAATAAGTTTGGTGCCAACCCATTCAGCCAACACATGACCCAGCAACAAATTAATTGGTGTGGCCACCTGGTCAATAGCAGGCAATCCAGCTTCAGGGCCAGAGGAAGACCACGCTGGCTGTGGATTGGATGTTTTAAGGACACTCTGATATACACAACATGAACCTCCAGCAGGACTCATACCTTGCGGCATCTGTCAACTTTAGTGGTGGGATGAATATACAGGCACCCACAACAACTCAACTTTATGATTTGCTAAGTTCTTATACATTAAACCAGTGGTACCCAACCTTTTTGACTTACTGAGCACTTTCTACAATCAATGTGAATGGACGGGCCCCTTAGGCCTACATTTTGTCTTATTAGTTAATGGTGATTAGGGGTTTTCTTAAGCGTTAGAGTAGCCCCTGAGAAGTACACCTGATGAACAGATATGAATCTATTTTAAGTACAATACTAAAAAAAAGATGGGGAAAAAATTCAAACATTAATTGAGTTATTTTCTTTATATATTTCTGACAATTATTCTGATGATAATTTTCAAACAAGTCTTCAACTTATATCAAGAAACGGCCAAAAGAAAGGTCCAGGACTTTGTTTTAACCACATTAAGAATTTATTTTACCTTTTCCATTGTTTTTATAGCCTTCAGTAGTTCATTCCGGTTCATCTCTGTGTATTCTTCTGTTATGACAAGTGGTAAAATGCCATTATATTATCACAAGTATCTTGGACAAAATATATGTTAAATTCCTTTTTTTTTTGTTTTGCATAGATCAACTATAAATTTTGAATTGCAAGACTTATTTTAACATTTAATTAACAAAACTTTTAAATTTGCACTTAACCACCAGAGCTAAATTCAATCAAGTCATTCATTTTGTATAAACAAAAAATCATGAGATTAAACCACAAACTTTTAACATCCACATTGGAATCTGCATTTTCCATGATTCTGTTGAGATCATCTTTCAGAGCTTTGTTATCCGCTTGCAGCTGCTCATTGGATTTGCTAAGACGGATGACAGTTTCACTTAAGGCCTTGACCTTGGCGGTGTTCTCTCGACCAGAACTACTAGAAACAGAAAAGAAAAACATACAAGGAAAAGTAAACAATATAATTGGGATAAAAATTTTCACAAATATTTATGTTTGTGTCTTTGCTAGACTTTCTGGTACTCAATAATGAAACAGGTCAATTCTGTCAGCAATACAACTGAATTGTTAATTTTTACCTTGATTTATCAGCCACTGAATCCTTTGACATCTGAAGTCTTAGCAGCTCAGAATAAACAGCTTCAAGCTGAACTCTCATCTCGTCTAGCTTTGTTGTTTTCAGATCTGACTGAAGTTTGCTGTGTGGGGGGAAATGGAGACATGATATATCTTTCAACAACAGACATCAAACATTCAAGTACAAATAAACCATTTTAAAAAAAGTAGTTTTATAAAGCTGAGAGAAAAATTATAGAGCTACTCCTGACCTATAATCATAATTTTCTCACAATAATATTAACAATAATATTAAGTATATTTTTGCTTCCTGCTTTAATGTTATGATTTGAATTAGGATAAAAGTTCCACATCACTAATGTGTCTAAAAAAAAATATATCACAAAAAGAATAAGAAAATGTGTATCAATAAAACTATAATGTAACTAAAGAAATCTTAAAATATCACAAAGAAAACATTGACCATCATTAAATTTGAAAGGCAACAAGATAAAAAAAATGGAAGCCCAATGCAAGAACCATAACCCATATTCTTTAGCTACCGGTACCTAAATGCTGCCTCTTTGTCTTTTAACTGTGTTTCTAATTTCAGTATTTTCTGCTTGTAGCTGTGAACAACAGCACCAGAGTCTGCTTGCCTGTCCCCAATGGTTCTACGCAGTTCACCATTCTAGATACATGAGTAATAATTGCAACATTACATTAATTATAAAATAATAATTCCCGTGATAACTGCTGACACAACTTTAAGGAAAATGTAAGCTTAAAATGGAAATAAAACTATGAACTCCATTTCATGGAAAATGTAAAGGAATAAAAAAAATGTTGAACAAGAATCTTTGTTTAATTGAAAGGCTTCTATACAGTTTAAAAGTCCTCACCTTACCAGGATTAAGCAAACCTTCAATTTCCTTTTCCTAATTTGAGGACAGGAAAAAAAAAGAAACACTTATTTCAGACATGTTTACCCTCAAACTCTTAAAATCGTACAATATAATCACTGAAATGTCACATTAAGAAATGGTGCCCTCCCCAAAGCACCCCCCCTAAGCCCGGTTGGAGATGTCCTTTTGCCAGGACAGCCCCCACCCGAGTCCGCTCGACCGGGTTCTGCTGAAGGCCGCCCCAACCAAAAGACACCCGGTTGGTCCGACACTGTGTTTGCCCACAGTGCACACGATCGACTTTCTCAGGAGTTAGGATGGTAAATTTACGCCCTAAAATCTTCCCCCACCCATCCCGGGGAAGCGTTGGACACCCTGTAAGAGGGATTCTACAGTGGGTTTCCACAACACAACTAATTTGCGAAGTAGCTGGGTTGAAACGGTTGCCTTGGAACAGCTTCTCAGGGCTGCATAGTAAGAATCATCGGCCAGAGGTTACCACCTTCGCCTCTCATCAATAAACGGCAACTTGCAATCATTATCCCTACCCTATCTCTGCCTTTCTTCCAATTGTGAAGCATCACAACTGACAGCCCTTTAGGTGCTGTTTTATTTACGGCACGTACTGAGCATGCCCCTTGTCTGCCCACGCAGGATGCGCCCAGCGGTTGTGTTCCTCGGTTAACGTCGAGGGGGTGGGTGGCCAACGCCTCCTAATCGACAAGTCACCACAGACTTGTCAACCGGAGCCCCGGGAAGGACAATATCATCACTAAATAGTTCAATATATCATCTTAATAGTAAAAAAGTAAACATACAGTATATATAATGTATACATCTCAAAATCGTACATTGAACGCCAAAATCTTAAGAGTAAACAGGTATGTTATTTTACTATGGCGAAATTAACAAAAAATGCTTTATTTCTTTGATGCACTTTTGAGATATTCAAAAATAAGCCACAAAGCTTAATTTCCTGTAAAAATGGCGCTTATCATCCAAGACATTAAACTTGCATTAAAATTAAACATGACCCAAATAAAACACAATGTGTCATGTGTTTCAGAGAATTGCTTTTTATTTTTTAATTAGTGAAAACATCAATTTAAATAAAATATATATTATAAGTCCACATCCAAAACATTTTCTTCACTTGTAAAACATTTTAGAGTTTGATTACCTTTTTAACATTATCCTCCTCTAACCTTCTTATTTTTGTCTTATTTGTGGCAGTTTCCAGGCTTAATGCAGCTATTTGCTGGAGAAGATGAAGTAACAAACAAATAAATTAGCAATCTAGACCTGACCAATTGTAGATAGCTCTTAACAATATAATACTTTGTAAAATTAAAACAAATGGAAAACTATATTTACCTTCCTCAAAGACAAAACTTCATCATAGTATTCTTCTTGTGTTTTATAAGCTGGAGTACCAAAATTTTGCCGAACTGAACAAAGAAATTATTGAAAACCATTTTTTGAAATCTTTCTTGGGTTTAGTGTAATAAAAATTTTCTAATGAAAAAACAACTAATTTTAATACTAGTGAATGAATGTATCATTTATTTGTTATCTACCTATCAGCTATGATATGATTTCTCTAATATTTCTCTTTCTTTCATGTGTCCAATCGTAGTACCAAAATTACAAAGCACTCCTTACCTAAAGTCCCATTTTCTGTGCGAGCACTGTTTTCAACCCCCATCACCTGTCTCATATAATGAGACGTACTAAGATATGGATATGCTTGTGTGTTCCCCCGTGGCAGTCCAGTTAAGGATTGGTTCTTGTTTGTCTCTGTGCTGAGCCCTGGAAGTAAATAAATTTCCCCATAGCAGTTTTTACACAAAAATATGACCTGTACATCAGAAATAGAGGCAAAAAATGTAGCAATATAATCTTATTATTTTTTTTTGGTAATAGCATGACTTTTGAAACTGAGTTTTGTTTGTTTAGGTAAAAAATAATTAAAATTGTACTCTCTTGACAAATTAGCTGTATTATCATTGAGATAGTTGAAAGTTATGTATTTTTTAAATATAAAAAGAAAACAAACATTTTTATAAATAAATTTAATAAGTTTACCAAACTTGTACTTGTACTGCACACAACCTTATTTTATTTTTACAAGGTGAGAAGGTGGGTCTCCATGATTAACTATTTGTTCAGTTGGGTCGCACCCATCGAAAAGTTGTGCACTACAGTGTTAAGGTACTAATCAGTTATTCTTCTTTGTAGGGGATGCATTTAATTTTTGGTCCTGATTCATTTATTATTTGTTCAATTTTTTACATCGTGATCTACATTGATATATATATATGCTCTACAGTTTAGAAAATACAATTTAAATAACAGTGTAAAAAAATTGCATAATTTTATTAACAATTGGCTACCTACCTACTCCAGTCTTGCGTAATGTGTCAATAAAAAACTCTGTTGGTGTTCTATGCCGGGGACTTGTCGGTCGATAGCCATTTGATAAAGTTACTGAAACATGAAAATTCTTGATTCCTTAAAAAAAATACTTATAAAAGATAATTTAACAATCAATCTGAAGTCATTCTTTTATCACACTTATTATACTAATTTCTGTAAAGCAAAAATCCAAGAACTTAAATTATTTTGCATAATTTATGATAAAACACACATAAATGCATTACAAATATAACTTACAAGTTTGTCTTTTTTTTAATGCTACCATCCAGAGATCTTTTCCAGTTTTTAGTTTTCCTGGAGTCACTAATGATCAGATGAAAGTTTTCATATTATCAATTTTTTTTTTACATAGTTTACTTTAAATGTGTGGGGAGATGAATATCAAGGTAATAATGAATAATGGTCAAACTGGGGAAAATGCATCAGTTTCAAAATAATGCCTATTCTCAAACAAAAAAGGAAATATTTTGTTCATGTTTCTACTAAAGACCACATCTTTGACATAAGAGGTGCTAATAGAAGTTCACAATATACATGTAGTTTGTTACATTGTGATACTATAACGATTTAATCATACAAATTTGTTGTCACATGCTGTTATATACTATTTTTGATGGTTTACTGATGTCTAAATAAATATATATTAATGAATTTTTTACTTTTTTTTTCATTTCAGAAATGGCATTTTTATTTGAAAAAAGTGGTGTAACATTTTAAACTTATGCAATATGACTACAGCTCTTGAGCAAGAAAATAATTGTGGATGAGACGCTTCAATCAAAAATGTATTGATGCTGTTAGCTACACAAAATCTTACACCAAGAAACAAACTGATATTTTATAATGATACAAATTTAAATGACTTAATTAGTGGCAATTTATATCAGTTGTACCTGGTCGCCGAGGAGTTCTTCTTCCAGACTTTTTAGCATGCATTCGGGGGGTAGTTCTGTTCCTTGAAATCTGAATGAGTTATGCGAGTTAAAAGAGTATTATTATTTTCTTAAATGTAGCAAGAAAGGTAGAAGATCAAAGCAATTTTGAGAAAAGACCTGACAAAGAATATATAGAGTCAAACAAGGCTGAGATGCTAATTAAGTATGACAACCACTGCAAAACTATATAAGCACATTGTTAGAAGTTTTTTATAAAGTTAAAGTGCCACAAACTCGCTTAAAAAAGCACATAATTTAAAAACAGGCCAAAATATATGGACACAGTTGAAAATATCCAATTAAAATTTTTAATCTATTAAGTGCGGCAGTTTATCTTGGATTTATGAGAGAAGAATGTGTATTTCAGATAAAGAATATACAATATTTTGTCTTAACATTTAAATATAATAGTGCCCATTTCTAGAAATAAAAACACATGCTTTTCACACAAAAAATAATTATTAAGCTTATAAGTAAATGTAAGTGTAAAGAAAAACTTACCACTTCAGCCATATCCTAATTAGATGGCCTTGAAATCAAGTCTGAAGTTCAATTGAAAGTTATTAACACAGGTTTGGACAGACAGAAAGAATAAGATTTTATCACATAATGTGATACAATTTTGGGCTATATTTAGATTATTATATGTATTATTTTTAACACTCTAATTTAAAAGCATGGAGACAGTATATGACATGCTCTTATAGTGTGTAAAATTCAAAAAATACTTTTATAATGTTAAGGTTTTTTTAATAATGAAATATCATTCTTTCAATTACTAGTTAGTCTCACTTTTAGAAACATAAAAGCTTTTGTAAAAAATATATCAGATTGTGTGAGTCTAAAATTCACAATATTCATTTTTAAGTTTCTTTAACTAGAAATAAAACATCGTTATTGTTTTTCTCCTAATAAATTTTACAAAGGCACTGTTCAACTAGTTCAAGTAAGTGATAAATTTAAAATGCAGAATGCAGTATTTAAAAATACCACAGACAGTGAAACAAATTATTTTTGACCACCCATGGTATGCACTGAAAAGGTTTAAATAAGAGTGCATATTTGGTTGTGTATATTATTTCGATAGTAACATTTTTTTTTTTTATAATTCTGCCTTTCCATTGTATTTATGTTTGCATTAAAAAAAATAGATTTCGTTAGTCTATCAGCCAATAACAATTTCCAATTTCTTTACACAGGTCACGGGCCAAATCATATGATGCACTAGACTGTTGGCATTTTGACTTATTTTTTGCTCTTGCTTGTTTCTGAATATTTTTATAAAATTGGAACAGATAAGGTCAAAACAAGATTATATGATGCACCCAGACCTGACAAAGCAAATAAAGTGTCTAAAATAAATGGTCTGAGACGCTGATCAAGTATGGCAACTTATGCGAAAACGATATAAGTACATTGTTGGCAGTGTTTTTAAAGTTAAAGTGCCACAAAACTTGCTTAAAAAAACACTTTAATTAAAAAAACAGTAAATCCAAAGAGATCTGGTGCATAACAATAGTAAAGGAAATAAAAAATTAAAATATAACCCTCCAGACAGCTTCCAAAACAGTATACACACAATGACATTACTTAGCCACTGCTGCAAGCTTCAGTCAGAACATGAGGACTACATGAATACATTGTCTATTGATATATATATTTGTTGTCACACGTGCAGATATATTAAGAAAACATAAACCTGCATAAGTCATAAGAGGTAATTGTAGTTTTACAAAGACTTCTTTTTCCACGGTATATACACTTAATCTATATAATAAGTCCTCAAAAGATCTATCTTGCATCACACAAATTTTTATACTTGGGCTTCAATGAGCCCATTCAACACTTCTATTATATTACATAAGGACATAGAATCAAGTCAAAAATTGGTGTGGCATTTTAACTATAAGCAATGCACGTGCAATACACCAATAAATAAAAGTTAGTTGACTTATAGTAAATGGCATTTTAAATGCTGTAGGGTTGATATTAAAATACATCACTGCAATAAGCTGTGACCATCACCAATTTTATTTTTTTAAAGCAGAAAATGGGATACAAGGCTGTGGGACATGCTTGTAGCTAAATGGTGGAAATAAGGCATTCTTAGATGAATCATTTATACTGAATGCTAATCTTCATCTTTTGATGAATGGTTAAAGAGGCCCAACCATAGACTTACTTCTCAATTTTTAAGATTTGTTACATTTATTTCATCACTTGTCACTTGTGTTTTATTAATTTATTTTTAATTCATTAATTTTATTTTTAAATTTAAGAGGACACTGGTCTCACTGATCTGGGAAAAGGGGGTGGGGGATATTTTTCTCAGCTAATGACTAATAATAATTTGTTTTTAAGAGAAAAAAGTGGCCCTCTTTAAATCGTTTATTAAAATTAAGGCTTTTATGGACATCAAGTGTGACTCACTTATAGTTACAGTAGTGCTTGGTGCAAGCCTGGCTTAGGAAACACTTGTGTGTAAGTGTAAGATTCCACTAACTTAGACGAGTGTGGGTAGAATGGATTCCAATTATTTGCTATCATTGAAGTATCACACAGTAAAATGGACCCATTCATTTCATTCATTATCAATCAGACTAAACAATTACAATGTCATTTAATTGTTAATTAACAAATATATAACACCATTCATATATGTCTTGGGCATAGTGGCCAGTGTGACTTAGGACTTATGGCACTTAGACAACAAATATAATAATTGTTTACTAACAAATTAAATAAATGTATTGGAATTAATTTTAAAATATTTGATTATTTGTGTGAACAAATATTAAATAATTCAAGCCCAATATTCTTTAAGAAATTCAATAATTTCAATCCTAAAATTTAAAAAATGTAAGAAGCTTAAATTGTATTTTACATACATTAAGAAGTTTTAATAACTAATGTCAATAACTTCTAACATTTTATTTATTCGAACAGCATCCGTAATATATTATAATCGAAGTGATTATTCACAGAGCTGTGCGGATAACGCTCGCCGTTATTCACAGATTTCGGTCTGCCGATAACGCTAAACGTTATTCACAGAATGTGATAAATTAATTAATGAATATAAAGTACAAAGTTCTTTATACACATCTCCTCGGTAGAGTAGTGGTCAGTGTCTCCGACCGTCACCCAGCAGACATAGTTCGATTCCCCGTTGGGGAAGCCTCATTTTTATAAATAAAATTTAAAAACAAAATATTTAATGGTTATTTCGTAGTGTTATATTATAATAATATTCTTCCTATAGCTTTCTTTTTCTGTTCACATAGTTTTATTGTTATTTTCATATAGTTTTGTTACTTATGTTACAAGTTTCAATCTATTTTGTTAGAATGTTCATTCAAGTTTCGTTAAAAAAATGTAAACAACATGGACATGCAATATGCAGATCAGCCGCATAAACCATGTTTAAGTCAGATACAGCTG